GGGAAGAGCAGAGTCCAGAAGAAACCCATGGTTTTGAGCTGGGAGACTGTTAAAATTGTGGTTCTGCTAGCAAAAATGAAGAAGTCAGGAAGAGAAAGGAGTTTGATGATCAGTTTTAGACAAGCCAAAAGGAAAAGTATTTTCTTTCATTGTCAACAAACAATAAGACATTATAAGCTGCTTTATACTTAAGCTATTTCTATTTATCAGTTTTGTATTTTTTAAATCTGATCACTGAATAAAGCAGTATCATGTATTGGGAAGGCCATTGGATTGGAAATCAGAAACCAATTAAGTTTGTTCCATACCCACTATTCACTCAAATACTTATTGAACATTTTCTATATGCTACATACTATGTTCGATGCTGAGGTTGCAATGGTGCTGTACCTGCCCCTTATCAAGTAGTAGAGGAAACCGATTAATCAAATACACACAAATAAATATGTAAATGCAATTGTACTAATTGCTTTTAAAAATCATATGTAAGATAAGTGTGAATTTCTAACATCCAGGGACCGGACCTAACATGAGGATCAAGAAAGTCTTTTTTGAAGAAATAATAGTTGAGTTGAGATCTGATAAAAGAAGTAGAAGCAAAGATGGGGGACAATTTTCTAAGAAGAGAGGACAGCATAAATGAAGGGCTGGTCATAAGAGGAAGCATGGCCATTTCAAATTGCTGAAACAAGGCAGCGTGGGTGGAGTGGAGAGGATGAGGAAAAACAGCCTTCACCCTTCAAATGGGTCTGTTGAGATGGGCAGGGTCTGGATTATGCAGGGATTTGTAGTCTGTCTTCAAGTGATTATTCTGCGAGCAATGAGAAGGCTTTAGAAGAGTTCAAATAGGAGATTGTCTGCATTTAAAAATGCCTAGCAGTACTGTATGCCAGTAAAACTTATTTTTTCTATCTAGTTATAATTTTGTATTCGTTACCCAATCTCTCCCTGTCCCCTCTCCCCTTCCCAGCCTCTAGTAACCATAATTCTACTCTCGACTTCTAAAAGTTCTATTTATTTACTTATTTATCCATTCATTTTAGCTCCCCTGTGTGAGTGAGAACATGCAGTTTTTGTCTTTCTGTGCATGACTCATTTCACGTAACATAATGTCTTACAGGCTTATCCATGTTGAGATGGCAATTTAAAACACTGGTGTAGACAGGACCCTAGAGATGCAGTGTAAGGTGAGAAGGTGACCTCAGATTGAGCCTGTAAAAGGAAGTGAAACATTTAAAGTCCAGGTGGAGAAAGAATATATGACAAATAAAGAGTAAGAACATGTGATTAGACAGTGTTAAGAAAAACAGAAGAGTTAAGTCAAAGGAGAGAGTTCCAAAGTGGTGGGAAGGAGTAATCGGCAAACTTCATACCTTTGGGCAGCGCCTATAATCTGTTTTTATCTGTTAAACAAAAAGATAATGTCCGTCTGCATATCTCAGAAGACTGTTGTGATAACCAAATCTGATGTTTGAGGAAAAGTTGAAATTTGTAAATCATTTTATTTCATAATTATTCTCAGTTTTAGGGGTTGTTTTTTTCCCCCAAGGACCATTCATGCCCTCATCTTACTTGCCCAGGCCTCCTTAGAACAAAAAAATTTGAACATGAAAATCTTCCCAATTCTTTTTCATAACTGCATGGAAATTAAGTACACTCCGCATCTGGAACTTCCCTCCCACTTGCTTTTCTCTCTTCCCTTTCCCTCACCAACCTGGAAATTCCCAGAAACTCCTTTGGCACCTGTGGGTATAGGCTCAAACATCTCAGTTCTAGAAATAAAACTACTGGGTAATCAGTTTCCCATGATTAAATGGCTAGCTATGAGGTGAAAGAAGCTTCTGGTACTCAAGGAATGCCTTACTGGTACATTCTCCCCTCATCTTGGTGTAATTCGTGACACATCACAAGCTCTCCCCACTTTGACCTCTGGAGTAGTCAGTACTTGATATTAGGGAAGAGGCCAGATGAGAGTGGTCCCTCCCCACAGAACATAGCTATTCAGGCAGCTGACACAGTGATTGTCCCTTAACCTCACAGCTAATGAGAGTAGAATTCACTAGCACCAAACCCTCATTCTAGGTCAGACGCTAGGCTTGTGGCTACAGCTCCAACCACAAGCTGACTATTATATACAAATGATTCATTTCCAGCCTTCTGCTTTCCTTTCAAGAGTCAGCTGTCATGTGCTGCCTGTGACTCACTCAAGCTTTGCCCCAGGGAAACAAGCACTCTAAAGATTCCTGAGTTCCAGGCCCCTCCTCAGCCAAGAGTCATGTTGCTTTTATGATGATGCAGCACAGAAGCATCCTGGCTAATTCCCAGTTGCTGTCCTGCCAGCTCAAGCACCATTGTTTCTGAGTGTAAGAACTAAGAGAGAAGGCAATTTGTGTTGCTTTGATTATGCAGGACAAAACTTAAGCCAATTGTGGCATGCAAAATATTGAAGAGCTAATGAGTATTTCCACAGTGGTTCAGACAGTGAGAGATGGCCAAATGCACCTCTCAATATTTCTAATTCCATGTTATGCTTATGAGGGGGTGCAGAGACTTTCAGAAACTTCAGGAAGCGATCCTGAACTTTTCACACTCTATCAACTGAGTTTTAGCCCAATAAGCCTCTGCAAAAGTGCTGATCTTATGTTCATTTCTTTCTTCTTTGTTAGTTTTTTAAAAATGACATTGTTTTCTAGACTGTGTTTTTTTTTTCTTTCCTATCAGCTGTATAACATACTAAAAAATTTGTTGGTTTTTAAATGAGGATTTCATATGAGAAGGAAGTTTTGGTAGCCACATTTTTGTACATTTCATTTTCTAAGTTCCTCTTCACGGATGTCCTTTACATTACAGAATCAGGTCAGCTGTCACAAACTTTTGCCAAATGTTCATATTATCAAGGCCACAGAGATGAATCACCTATTGCCTTACTAAATTAAGCTAAAATGCACCATTGGCAGAAACCCTAATACAGAATTATTCTCTGCTTCTACATCTGTCAGTATGTTTTCATGTTGGATATATTATTGACATTCACGAACTAAATGAACAAGGACAAGAAATGTTTTAGATGTGTGTAGGAACTAAGAAACCCTATATTATGTTATTCTGTATAAATGAAAGGTAATTATGTGACTAACTGGATTCTAACCTATATGGTAATATTTTTATATTACACACACTTGTTAGCAACAATTTTATGGACAAATTTAATAATCATATTTTTATAAGATAGTCTATTACTTGTATTTGTCATGAGGTAGTCTCATATAGTCTCAATGAAGTAAAATTAGGTTTACAGAACACTTATTTTTAAATAAGAAAATGTCACCTGGATAACCTGGAGCTTGAATGTGAATGTAAACATTTAAGTTTGTGGTTAAAATCTGCTCAGTGAAGATCTGATTCATAAAAAATGCAGACTGATTCCTTTAATTAATAAAGAACTAAAACCAGAGGTCAGCTTTTCCCATGAAGAATGGCAGCCTCCCTGCCTCACTAAGCTAGATTGGAAGTAACTTTTTGTGTTCCTCCAATCTATTTCCAGTGATTTTAAGGGAGTATCACAATATTTTTTAAAAGAAAATTTAGTAAAATGTAATTGTTAAAATATTTCATGCAATAACTTTATAAGTAAAAGAACAGTGTTCTGAAATCAAGAAAAGGTTATCATTTGTCTCAGTTGATCAAATTCACAAACTTATTGAGCATCTATTTTATAAAGACAGTTGACAAAGGTCTTTAGGTGATAAAAGAAAAAAACATATTCTTTGCACACAGGGAGTTTTAATTTAACTAGGAAGACAGGTTACACGGTGTACAAAGTTAAATGACAATTTAAAACAAGTACTAATGTGGTTTAACTAAAGAAGGTGTTAAGGTATAACATACGCATATTTGCCAAGTGATTGAAACAGGCACTCAGGCATTCAAAAAAGAGAAAGAACACTTGACACAGATGTGATTAGAAAAGAATTTACTGAATAGGTGAGATTTGAGCTGAATCAACTATTAATAATTTTACCAATTGTGAGCTGAGGATAGAAACAAATCATGGTTGGTGTTGAGTTTGACAGCTATACCAGGGGCTTCCATCTGTTTATCTGCCTGCATCTTCAGTATTGATTTGTATGTCACTTTTCCAATTTATAGAGTTTACTACAGGCCATTTATCTAAATATGATGGCCAGTCACATTATTGGCATTGTCTTTTGTAGGGTTCATTGAGCTGAGCAGTAAGGAGATACAAATAATCATTTAAAGTTGAATGTCTCAATGCAAGATATTATCTTTACTCTGAGGATAGATATATATTCCTAGAGTGATACTTTTTAAGATTATCTTTTTTAATAACACATATGTTACTGGTAAAGAGAAAAATGTTCACAAATTCAGTCAAGTTGATAAGGTAGTAAAAACTAACTTAAAAAACAAAAAACAAAAACATAGCCTTGACCTTCCAGGTAACTGTTGTTTTCTTTCTTTCTTTTTTCTTTTTTTTTTAAAAGAAGATAACTGGTAAGGGGATCTTAACCCTTGACTTGGTGTTGTCAGCACCACGCTCTCCCAAGTGAGCTAACTGGCCATCCCTTTATAGGGATCTGAACCCGTGGCCTTGCTGTTACCAGCACCACACTCTCCCAAGTTAGCCATGGGCCAGCCCAACTGTTGTTTTCTAACAAATGGAATGTAATAATGCTTCCCAAATATCCGTTTGCCCAGGAGTCACCTGAGAGTTCTGTTAAAATGCCCATTCTGGATCTGTAGGTCTGGAGTGAGACCTGAGCCTCTGTGTTTCTAACAGCTCCCAGAGGAGGTAGGTGCTGCTGGTCTGTGCACTTTGAGCAGCGAGATTGCAAAGAAAGTAAGACCACACTTGCTTCCATGAGGGATGTGTCTTAAGCAGTAATTCTCTGTTTAAGGAAAATATTAATATTATTAGAATAACATATTATATGGTCTTTGTCCTTTATTTTCACCCAACTCTTTATCTTTGCCTTTAGCACGAAAGCAAGAGATTATCAAAGTCACTGAACAATTAATCGAAGCTATCAACAATGGGGACTTTGAAGCTTACACGTGAGTAGAGGCACATTTACTTTGCTTTCATGCTTATGGCAAATGTATTTTCTATATGAATGCAATATATATCAATTCATGTATATTTGACTCCAGGTTTGATATGTCAACAATAGTCTTATTTCAAGGTATAAATGACTAAGTGCCCCCAGGAAAGAAATAAATGTATATAAGATTTCAGAAAGAGAAGACCTGACTTCTAATCCAAGGATTGGGGATATCTTTGTAAATGCACAGATGTGTAACTACCCACAGATCCATATGAGAGAAGGGCATTCCAGGCAGAGCAATCCATGTGAGCAAGATATAAAAACCAAGAGAGCACATAAAAAAGTACATTCTGGTTTAAGAAAGGGTTTTACTTGAAGTTCTGCAGAGGTGCCAGGACAAAGAATGAGATAAGGAGGTGACATCAAGCAGGCTTCTCCCTTCTTAACCAGTGCAGCTCAACCTTATGTGCATCTCTCTTGTGTGTTTGTCACTTAAGAAAATTTTTATTTGAAGAAGGTGTTCTGTTGCTTAAAGTTTATAAACTACTGGATCATAAGGTATATAAAGGAAATTAATTTACTCAAATAAAAATAAATCTTTCAATTTAAATAAGGCATGAAGGCTTATTTCACAAAGTATGTGTGTCAATGAGTTAGCTATTTGGGGATAAAAATCCATCTAAGCCCTTCTTTTATACCATACTACAAAGTAGTCCCACTCTAGTGAAAGAGTTAAAAGCAAAAAGAAGAGATTAAATCTGATCTCTGGTTAGAAACATCTTTTTCGGTTTAAAAGCAAGGGAAATAATCATAAATGAGAAGATAAAACAATTAGTCTACTTGTATAATTTAATAAAAAAGCCAAAAATAAAACTAAGGCCCAAATAATAAACTTAAAAAAATATTTGCAATATATGTCAAAAGTTAATTTTTATATTGAGTGGATAAGATTGAAAAGTAGAAAAATAGGTAAAGGTAATGAATTGACTGTTAGCAGAAGAGGAAAAATAAATGACAAGTAAACTAATAAAAGCATATTCATGTCTACTAATTAAGTGTATGCAAATCTGATTGCAAGATCATTTTCTGTCTATTAGATGAGCAAGGATAAACAGTCTGCTGACAACCAGAGAGGCATAGATACTGCTGGGCAGTGATGACTTCCCTACCCTGGGGGAACAGAGCACAAAGGAGCACAAACTTTCGGGATGGTGGTGGTGGTGGTGGCAGGGGTGGGGAAGTTAGTTAGTATATCCCAGAAAGACTTTATAGAGATTCGCTTATAGTTCTACTTATAAGAATTTCACATAAGGTTGGATTTTGAAACGAAAGCATGAACAAAAATTTATGAACAAAGATACATATTGAAGCAATAATTATAATAGTAAAAAATTAGGAACAACATTATGGTAACAATTAAGTAATCTTTGATGCCTTTAGTGCAAGAGTTTGCCAGTTTCTAGTAATCTGGCAAAATACTTATGTTTTTTTCTGAAAATAAAGAAAGATATAAAAGACTGTACATAGTTATTACAAGTACATAAGAAAAAAAGCATTAAAAGTGGAATGAAAAATACCAAATTGGGGCCGGCCCGGTGGCGCACTGCCACAGTGCGCCGCTTGGGAGCGCGGCGGCGCTCCCGCCGAGGGTTCGGATCCCACATACAGACCGGTTCCCGCTCACTGGCTGAGCGAGGTGCGGGCACAACACTGAGGATTGCGATCCCGTTGCCGGTCCCAGTCTGGTACAGGCGCGACACTGAGGGTTGCGATCCGTTGCCGGACACGAAAAAAGACAAAAAGAAAAAGAAAAATACCAAATTGGCTTTAGAAAAGAAAAAAAATTTATCTCTATGAGAGATGAAATTATATGTGAATTTTTTCGTGCTTTTTTCCTATTCTTTCCAAATTTTATATAAGCAGATATTACTTTTATCATTAGTTACAAATAGTAGCCAAATAAAAACATGGAACTAATTGTCAGAACTAAATTAAATGCAGGAGCTATTTCTTTTTTTTTTTTTTTTTTTTTTTTTTTTTTTTTTGTCTTTTTTCATGTCCGGCAATGGATTGCAACCCTCAGTGTCGCGTCCGTACCGGACCAGGACCGGCAACGGGACTGGAACCCTCAGTGTTGCGTCCACACCTCGCTCAGCCAGTGAGCGGGAACCAGTCTGTATGTGGGATCCGAACCCTTGGCGGGAGCGCCACCACACTCCCAAGCGGCGCACTGTAGCAGTGCGCCACCGGGCTGGCCCTGCAGGAGCTATTTCTAATAAATTAAATGTGGGTGCATATACATACAAATACATGCATATACATGTACATGTATGTGTAAGTATCAATTCTTTAACATGAACTAATAAAGTATACTTGGAATAAAAGAAATAGTAAAAAACTGAGTTTAAAGGAGGTCTCTATTAAAGAGTTGTTTATATCTCTGCCATAGAAACTGTTCTCTTTTATTCTTTTTGCTGTTATAACCTTGTTAGACCCATGTGATTCTCCAAAGAATAAGAATATTCTTTAAAAAAAAAAAAAATCTCCTTTTGCAATAGCATTTCCCTTTGGAATGGTAAAAGTGTGTTTTGTTGTTGGTTTTAGTTCAGGGACAGGGAGCAATTGTATCCAGGCAAAAGTAGGGTATTTCTTATCTCCCGGACAGTTTTAAAGTAGGGTATTTTAAATAATGCAGTACCTTGGGATCACATCAGTTCATGAATCACTTTGCCTCTGGAGGCCTGCATCCTGGCCTGATTTTGTACTTTCAGGACTTTCACTTCGGAGCTTTTTGGATGGTAGAATATATTTGCGTAGCTCTGTCACCTGGTCCTTAGAACCCCTGCTTAGAACATACACACCCACATCAAGTGGCAGCTTTATGAATTTTTTATTAATCCAAATCCTGTTATAGGAGATAGATAGATGTTAGATAGAAAGATAGATAGATGAGAGAGAAAGCATGAACAGATTAATAGATTTTGAAATATTTTGACTCTTGATGGCTGGGTAAAAAGATCCATCATAGCACAGTGATTCCCAGATGATCTTAGTGCTGATGTAAGTTAGTAAGAAATTTTGGTTCACTGATATTGACAACCAAAAACCATATTTATAGAGGAAATAATAGCCCCTGGCAGAATAAATTCCTGTTACCATAGGAACACTGTGCTTCCCATCTTGCTCCTAAAAAGAGATTATATATATTTGACTTTATGCTTAAAAATACCTGCCCAGCAGGCAGTCTGAGGTGAAGTTTGAAATCCCTACCCACACCCAGCCACCCCTCTTTAAGGCTGTCTTTACCACAAAGAATAGCCATTGTGAATTTCTATTTAGAAGTATTTTTTTTAAAACACCAATTCCACATTGTATGACCAATATTGGCCTTTGAAGAACCACAGTGAGCCAGATTTTTGAAATTCATAGTTCTATTGAACAGTTAAGAGAATGTGCTCCCTAATGGGGAGTTTCCATATGAAATTAGGTGTTGCCCCATCCACTGTATTGCCCTTTGGGGCAAGTTAACAAACAGACCCAAATCCTTTGATTTGTACTCCTTTTATCTACCTTGTGAACCGCCACTAATTCTTTAAATCCAGATTTTGTCACCTTCTCTGAGAAGCCTACCCTGATCACTACAGGCCGAATGAAATATTTCTTCCTCTCTGTTTCCATGGGACTTGCATACCAATCCCACTGAGCCAGCGCTCACTTTATCAAACAACAAACCATCATTCCTCAAATGTGCCCTGCATTTGCACAGAACTACACCAGGATAACAGCTGCCCGCCTCCTGCCCACCACCTTCCACACACCTGGATAACTCTTAATCATTCTTAAAAGCCCAGCTCAAATTTTCTTTCTCTCTTAAATCTTTTCTGTTCACTGTCTATTAGTAATCTGCGTTTTGAGAACTTTGCATTTACGTCTATTCTAGTATTGGTTATTGTGTTATAACTGCTTGTTTCAAAGGATATCCACTACCTAGTAAGTGTTTAACAATTCTCTGTTGAACAAATAAACTTTAAAGAAAGCTCATTGGCTTTTCCTGAATATTTAAAATTGTGTACCCCTTTGTTGAATCATGTCTCTAGGATTAAAAAGAAAACTAGTATTTGCATTTGAATCTCCTATTAATTTTATTTTAAAAGTGAAATAAAATTTAAACACAAGCTTAGTTAAGTCTTGTGGACATTGCCAGGAAGTATAGGATGTGATACCTTCCTACAAATCAATTATAATATAGATGTTTGTCATGAATGTAGAAGGTGTGGTCCAACAAAAATTATTCCAAAACTGTTTTACTTCAGAACCAAAGATGGTCTTATAGGACTAGAGAGTGTCTGGGACTATAGGACTTGGAGAATATTTTTAAGATAAATTTATTTATTTTATTACATTTATGTACATATGTATAAATATATATTTATTTTACTGTAAGTCAATATTTAGAAAAACTGGAAAAAACTGGAGAATTCACCTTGGAAATAAAAAAGTAGAGAATTTAAAAAGGCTATTCTTATAGTATTACAGGTTATCATCTGTTCAAACTGGTTTAGTTTGTCCCTATTAGAGTTCTCTGCAAAATGCCTTTATGGAATCCACTCCTCGATCCACCTTGCCAAGATCTGTAATAAAAATTTTATATTTTTAGTGTTGTTTTTTAGAAGGTCTTTCTTTCATTGACTGATAAATAAAAACGTTTACACATGAAACCACAAAATACATTAATACATTTATTTATTGGTTATCTTCATTATTTTTCTTCCTACAGAAAAATCTGTGACCCAGGCCTTACTGCTTTTGAACCTGAAGCTCTGGGTAATTTAGTGGAAGGGATGGACTTTCACCGATTCTACTTTGAAAATGGTACATTTATTCTAAATTTAAAAGCATGCCTTTACCAACTACACTTTGAATTTCTCCCAAATTGGCAGATTCCCTGGCTCTTTAATGCAATGAAAAATTTTACCTTCATTCAGCATTTTATACCATAAAATTTTTTTGTATTTTAAATTAAAAAAATATATATATGACAGGGTTAAAAGTTTTGGAGTGTTTTGAAAAATATCTGACTTTGTATGAAAACTAATATTGACTGAATACACCCCCTATAAATCCCAGTAAATGTATAATACAAGCTGCAAAACGAATTACCAAAAAATGTGTTATTTCAAGTTCTCATAAAACTGTTTATGTAGAAAAAAAATAAAAGAAACCACAGCACGCCAGAATAGTCAACATAGAAGAGTGCTTTTCAAGTGTATTTGCTGCTTATTTTCAAAGTAAAATGTAAATGAAGATGAGTAATCAGGTAAATATTTCAATCAAATTGCAAAAATTTTAGTGGTCTCAGGGGAAGCATTTCAGAGCAGTTGACTAAAGAAGTTTCTCCTGCAGAAATCCTTCAGATGATAAAGAAAATATAAACCAGAAATTCCCTTTACTCTTCTCCTTCCACCTGATGGCATTAAACATTATGCTGTGTTTACATGATGCATAAAGTGAATTCACTCTTTTTGCAGTGAAATCTTGTTGAATTGAAGAAGACTTGTAGTAATGATTAGAATAATCAAACTCATTTTCAGTAATTACAAGCATTCTTATATTGGCCTTGGCATGGATTTTTAAGTAAAATGTACTGAATGAATTGCTTTTTCTTATATGCACTAGGCATTTGCAAACAAATAAACAAAAAGAATTATGTGATAAATTCACCTTAACAAAGCTTCAGTAAATGTTCTCATATTCTCTGTATTCCAGCTCTCTGGTCGACAACTTCTCATAATGTTTTGTCCGACTGACTTTCAATCGACACTGTTTCATCTATAGTAGAAGACTTAATTAACCTATTATATTTTAACCTATTTCAGTATCACACTAAACACCGTTAGGTTCCTGTTTTAAGTAATTTCAATAGGTATTTTCTGAGAATGAGCATCATGTTTGGATAACAGCTAAAATAGTTCAGCCTGTTCTAGTGATCAAAGAAAGAAACATAATCAGTAAGTAGTGTGCACTAAATCCTCATATCTTTTGATGATTGAATAATTAGAATGGGTAGCTACTGTCAAACAACAGAGGCTGGAGCCTACTGAGGGCTACTCAGTCAAAAGAAAGAGCTGGAAGCTTAGAACAGGACTATATAAACAACAACAAATTTTGGATTTTTACTAGATGATCACATCTGGACGATCATGGAATAGACTCTAGAGACAGTGATCGCTATACTTGATTCTTGATATTTTTCCTTTGTCCTATGTACTTCACCAACTAATAAAACCAACACCACCACAAGATATCCTGTCAACGGCACCAGCAGTTTGTTCATTGAAAAGACAGCAACTGCTTTGTGCATCTGGTACAGGCTTTATTCACCTCTATTTATATTATGGCTTCTGTTTCTAACCACTTCCCATTATAAATAAATACATCTCTCCAACTTTTATCCCCAATCAATCAAAAGTTCCAGAGAAGCATACCGATTGCCTATATGGGGAATCAGAGAAAAAACTGTATCCACTTTTGCTCTTTCTCTTATCCTTTATACTTTGTACAGTGCCCAGCACTTGTTTAGTGCAAATAGTTAATAGATCAGTTAATTGATTAATGAGTGAATGAATAACATTCCATGCATTGATCTCAGCTGAATTTATTACTGGTTTTGACTTGTCTTACATGGAAACAAAGTTTTGCTTTTCATGTTGTTTTCTTTCAGCTTTAAAAAGCAATAAACCAATCCACACCATCATCTTGAACCCTCATGTACATCTGGTAGGGGACGATGCTGCCTGCATAGCGTACATTAGGCTCACACAGTACATGGATGGCAGTGGAATGCCAAAGACAATGCAGTCAGAGGAGACCCGTGTGTGGCACCGCCGGGATGGAAAGTGGCAGAATGTTCATTTTCATCGCTCTGGGTCACCAACAGTACCCATCAAGTAAATATTTCCAGGCTGTCAACTTCTTTGTTAATATACCCATGGTCAGCTCCTTCTACTTATTCATTGTTAATAGTATGACATATGTTGTTTAATGCTAATGGTTGATTGCATTGGTGGAGATAAATACCTTTGTGGGAAAAGTCTATGATTCTCTGGAAAGGTCAATCAGACCAGCCACTTGTGGGTTGAAACTTGCCATAGAGCAGAATAGGATAGTTATTGATAAGAACTAGAGACTACCCTATCAAGCTGATTTCTCATAAGGTTAAATCAGGAAGGTTCATGTAATCAGGCAAAACATTTGTGACTTCATTTTCACAGTTGACAGAGGAAGGGGATGTGGGAGGAAAATACAGGGAGGATTTCTCAAGTGGTCAATATCCTGTGAAGAGCTTCATTTCATGGATTATCCCCTGGGGCTCAGGTACAGATATTAGGGAAAATTTATAAAAGACAGCATTTAAAAAGCAAATATCAGGTATTGCAGTGTCTTTCTCACCTCACTACTCTACCTCCGATGCCGTGTTTGCTCTTCCAGTCAATAACTAATGTTTACTGCACATCTCCTAGGTGCTTAACTTGTGCCAGATACAAGCGAGGTAAAAGATGTTGCCCTCAAAGAACATACACTCTAGTTTAGACAGGAACTCATCGATTATACCAAAAAAAATATGTAATAATGTTTATAATCAATTTCAGAGTAGAGTGAAGTGAATGACCAATGTAGCAAACTGTTGATAGCAGTTTGGAAGTATACTTTATGTGTAAAATAGAATTTTAGACAAGATCTTAGATGATAAGTCAAATTTGGAGACATAGAAAGATAGAACAAAGGGAAGAGTGTCCCTGCTAAAGGAGCATCATGAACAAAAATACAGTGTCAGGACTTTAGCTTAATATGATAGAACATTATGTGTAAGGAAGGCTGGCTACACCTGGAGTAAAGGAGAATAATGGGAAATAGATTGCATCAGTAACGCGGGGTGAGCTGAAAACAAGAAGGGCAGTTCGGAGTCAGTTAGTAGAAGTACGGTCCACTGCTGATCTCTTTCCAAATTCTCTCATCAGGATCACCTGTTAACATTTTGGGGTATGGATTGGGGGGTCAAGTTCATACAAACAGCCATTCAACTTACTCCAGTAAATTCATCATGATTTCTGAGCTTGACAACATACCACAGTGATTTTCAAAGGCCTTCAATAGCCTTCCTAATTATATATCACTGTTGGATTTGTAAAAAGTGCGTCAACAAGAACAACAATAGGTTGTTGAAAAAAGAAATTCATTCCAAAAACAGTAGCTATGTAATTGAGAAAGACACAAAAAGAATATGAAGATAATAAAGACACCAACCAATTTTTGTGCCTTTGTGTGTGTGTGTTTTTTTTTTTTAACTCCAAAGAGGTACAGAACAAATTGCCAGCTAATATAGAAGGGATTACATTCATACAGTGCTAAGGGGTTAGGTTTTTCTGCAATTCCCTGAAGCATTTATGCGATAGAGCCTGTTTAAGAAAACTTCATTTTATGCCAGGTGGTTTACATGGGGCTTCTTTTATTAGGCCGCCCTGTATTCCAAATGGGAAAGAAACTTCTCAGGGTTACCTCTTTCTGGCAAAACATCTAAGGCCTGAAAACCATTCACATATGGGTTTTGTAAGTAACATTCTACTCCATGATACTTAGTGATTGGAGCTAATGACTGAAAAGCTGAATGGCTGTTTTTCTTCTCTTCGAGGGTATTTTCTCTTGTATTATATTTAATGAAAAACATACAAGGTCTTTGAAAATTCATGGCAATTTTGCATGAGCTCTTGAGTCTAATGTTCAGCCCCACTGTTTGACATAACCCTTATTTTAAAGGTAGTAAATGCTGAGAACCTTTTTTTTCAGCATACGGATTGTGTCATTTTAGAATCCTGGAATTCTTGCATCAAAAGTCAGTCATGTCTGGGTCAATTCAGATAACTCTCAATTGTGCAGACCTGATTTATATTAAGACCTTTGATGTCTTACTGTTTTTCAAGAGGTTGCAATTCCTGTAAGCAGTTGGCTAAGGTTAATATGTAAATTAATTGGCTGTGCCTGATTGAGTATAATGGTACTTGACCATGAGGAAAAGTTGCAGGATAAAGTCTAGCTGAATCTTAAAACTCATGAAGTGGGTAATTCCAGAGGATAATTGAAAGTTGACTGTAATTAACTTCATGCCTGTGTTATTTTTAAAGATTTGTTTCTTAAACTTGGGTTAGAAAGATTCAGATATGTGTGGTGCTGTTGGGAATATTTTCTCCATTTAAATCACTGAACTTTGTCAGAGCTTTCAAGAAATAGTGTTCCCAGCTGCTGCTTTTAAGAAAGGAGACCTCCAAATAAAAAATAATAATCATAATGTTTTCTCTACTTTTGAGGATATATTCCTTGTTATAATCACTTCTAGGTTTGATTTCTCAAAGAGTCTAAGAATAATGACATAAGCTAAGGATGAACTTGAACTTTGAGTCTATTTCAAATTATAATATTTATTAATTTGCCTAGTAAATATAAGTGCTTAAAATGTATATTTAGATTTAATAATGTAATTGAAGTCTGTGTCCCTATCTTTTTATTTTTAGCTTAGCTTTGTGTGAACAAATTAATATAATTAATACCGATTTCCTACTTTAATATTTTCTTTAACATTGTGTATTTTATCTTGAAACGATGACAAGCAAAGATCTTTTATATGTACTGTTTTCAATCTGCTCTTTAGCTGAGTTATAAAATTGTAGGCTAGTCACATCTATGGCAAAGTGATTTGATGATATTTTGTGAAACAATATGACTTATTTCCTCCTCCCCCTTTCTCCTTTCAGCTAACTATCGACAGTGCCACTTCTGCATCCTCTGTTCTCAAGGCACCTGGATGGTAACCCTGGGCCGTCCTCTTCTCTTCATGCATGTTTCTGAGTGCATGAAGTTGTGAAGGTCCTACATGTAATGCATATGTGATGCATCATCTTATCATATATTCCTTCCTATACATTGTTTACACTTCAACTACAGGGATGTTCCATGCAAACTTCAATTGTTGTTGGCAAACAATAGGGGGCGGTCAGACAAAAAAAATTCCACAATAATCCAAGTACAACCTATACATCTGTTTATGCCAAGATTTAACAAACTTAAAAATTATTGTTCTCTGGATGATGGTTTGTAAGAGAAATGTAAATTTTTTAGAACTCTTTGCTGTCAATCAGTTTTGGCTTTTTTTTTTTTTTTCCCTTAAAAAGCAAAAAAGTATACCTTCAGTTTCCTTGTGTAATCCTGGTTGAAATGAATGTTTTCATGGAAAGCTTTGTTGTTTAAAAATTGAAGTTGGTTGATATGTGGGCAAAATCACTTATGAACGTAAAAGCAAGAACAGTTCTTTTGCTACCATCTAAAGCCATGTTTTTGGTCAAACTGTGTCAACTGGAAAAAGTCACATTATTATTTATGAGTTTGATTGCTTTAGGATATACTCACATTGTTCTGGTGAATTTGCTGAATTGGATTTTTTTTTTTCCTCTCTCAAATCTATGCTCTGTTTTCTTCATTTTATCCTATTTCTTGTTCCTTTTGTTTACTTTTTAAAAATTTTTCTTTTGTCTTCATTCTTTTCTTTTTTATTTCTTCTTTTTTGGCTGGCAGTAAGAAAAGAATAAAAGTGAAATTTGCCTGATGAAGGTAAAATAAAAAACAAGGCCTTTTGGAGGTAGCTAAACTAGCACTTTTGATCATCTTCAGGGCCCACAAAAATGTTGTCAAGATTTTAAAGATTATTTCTTCTTAGGTTCTAGTTTGGACTTAGGTATCCTACTATGTTGGAGGTATTAGCTTTGTTTAAGCCTAGGATAAAAGCAAGTAAGTTCCTACTGTAACTGCAATGTGTCTTACTGATTGGGGCAACTGCAAGGAGAATACCAAGTTCATTGCTGATCAGTTTTCTGCAAATGCACTCATTTCCACCTTGTGGAATGCTGGGGCCCCTCCTACATCATTTCTAGTTAGTTTTCTATAGTTAGAGATGCTTACAAATGTTTTCCATTCTCATAAGTGTTTTGAACTTGATCTTTGTGACTCGTGCTTTTTTAGCTTCTCTCTTGAGTGAGAGTATCATTATCTTCCTCTAAGAGTTAGGATTTTCCAGTTTAAAACAAAAAGAAAAGGGAAATGTCCTGGGTTTTCTTTGTGCTTCTCAGTTTTTTGTTGATTCAATTCCTTTGGCTTTTTTCTTCCCTGAAATGCTTTCTAGTGCATGGAATCTCCATCAACATTATTTTGACGATAGTGATTCACAATCCTCAGAAGCCTAATTTTAAAGCAAAAGCAAAAAACCAAAACCAAAATAACTAAAAACAACCCTCTCTCTTTTCTCTCATTTCAACTTTCTGTGTTGATTACTAATCACCTTAGATATTGTTGCTAGTGAATGTATGGTAGATGGGTTGAAGCTTTTCTGATAATTATTACACGATTTAAAACAATATATATTTAAAATAAATATATACAGTAAATGTATTGAGCCATGTTAACCTGCCAATGAGATCTGTGAAAAAGTAATGGCCTCATTTTTCCCTTTTTAGTTTCTTTTACCTTTTTGTGAAGCAGCTATATGTGGCATACATGTATTTTTAAAAAATAGGTATAGAGTGTTTTTGTTTTTACATTTTTAACTTAGCATGTGGTGTTGAAGTATTACCATAGATCAAGTTCGTCTTCCACACTACGATGTGAGGAAATTGTGATTTGTTCTCTCCACCACAATTGAATCTCCACCACTTATTATCTTCTATCATTTTGAAACACTGCAGTTTACCATGGGACACTGTATATATTTCTTGCCATAATGGTAAATGATTGATTGATATATTTAAGAGTTAATAAATTTGTGATTTCTGCTGACAATGCGTCCATCTTTATTTCTTAAGAAGAGATACTGTATTTACGCATGTATGGTGCTGGCCACTGCTGAGGGTAGTGTGTCCTATTATGGTCTCATTCAGTACGTAACAATTTGCATTTGGTGATAATGGCAAGTTAATTGTTGCCAGTGAGCTAAACAATGGTCTCCCCTGGGAAAATTTTGCTGAGAGCAAAATAGTGAACAACTAGGAGTCTTAAAAGCTTCTAAACCTGCACCCTCCAACCCATTCTTCACATGGCTTCTAGGAAGTTCCTTTTGTAGCCCAATTCTGATCATATGACACTGCAGTGTTATCATCTCCAGTACAGATGCAAGCACCCCAGCTGCTGCTACTCCCCAGCTTGAACTTGAGTGTACAGAGATACTCAACTTCTTTCCCGAATTGCTAAAAGCACCACACTTTCTCACACATCTGTTTATGTGGTTGGGTTATATTTCTTACCTAGAATATTCTTCCCCTACTTCAACCTAATTCTTATTCATTCCTTAAGATTCAGCTTATATATCCTGCCCTCCGGCCATGCTCTGGGCTTGCTTGCTTTCACTCAATATTTATATAGTGGTTCGTCAACCACTTTGTTATAAAAATATATCTTTATTGTGTCTCCTCTACTGGAGTATGATGTCTCTGTGGGCAAGAACTGTGTATTCATCATTGTATCCCTAAACCCAAACCAGGGCCCGGAAGAGAGATATTGTTATAACTACTTGTTGAACAGAGACCAAACCACAAATGGGAACGTCAAGGTGCTGGATTTAATGTTGGGCTCTCTGTCACTATTGTCTTTTTTTTTTTTTTTTTTCCTTTTTGTCTTTTTTCATGACCGGCAACGGATTGCAACCCTCAGTGTCGCGCCCGTACCGGACCGGGACCGGCCACGGGATTGCAACCCTCAGTGTTGCTCCCGCACCTCGCTCAGCCAGTGAGCGGGAACCGGTCTGTATGTGGGATCCGAACCCTCAGCGGGAGCGCCCAAACCAGGGCCCGGAAGAGAGATATTGTTATAACTACTTGTTGAACAGAGACCAAACCACAAATGGGAACGTCAAGGTGCTGGATTTAATGTTGGGCTCTCTGTCACTATTGTCTTTTTTTTTTTTTTTTTTCCTTTTTGTCTTTTTTCATGACCGGCAACGGATTGCAACCCTCAGTGTCGCGCCCGTACCGGACCGGGACCGGCCACGGGATTGCAACCCTCAGTGTTGCTCCCGCACCTCGCTCAGCCAGTGAGCGGCCGGTCTGCATGTGGGATCCGAACCCTCGGGTGGGAGCGCCGCCGCGCTTCCCAAGTGGCGCACTGTAGCAGTGCACCACCGGGCCGGCCCCACTATTGTCTTGATGCTCTGAGCAAGTTGCTTCTTCTCTCTGAACCTCAGTTTCCATATTCGTAAAATGAGAATAAACATACCAATTTAATAAAGATATTATGAGGATTAAAGTTAAAGGTTGCAGAGTGCCTAGAATAATACGTATTTGATAGACATTAAATGGTAGCAGCTCTAACTATTCTAATCACTGATATTAATACTCCTATTGTCATTATTATTTCTTACTGGGGGTGTATTACTCTTTTTTCGCTATGGGCTGCTCTGTTTATGTAGGTTTACTGTTATAGCTCATATTCAAGTGTGTCAGAGGAAGATGAGAGATAGTGAGGTAGTCATCTGGCTGAGAGTAGGAAAAATGAAATGAAGTGAGTCAGTATATGCAAGAGAGATTTTCAAGGAATATTAATCTCAAGTAACTGAAGTTTTGAATCTCTATGTAATAAAAGAATTATATATAAGGGTAAACATAAAAGGCATAACTTTTGAGTGATTTCATTGAATAAAATTCTACTGAATTCTACAAATGTTTTATGCTTTTTGTGGTCTCCTTTGTCAGATAACAAAAGTGAGATTGAGAATGTATAACCAAAAATGGTAATGAAGATCAGCATACTAGACCATTTGTCCATGATCTGAAGAAGGAGCCATCATAAACCTCCTTGGCCAAAGACAGCAGCACCAAATACTTATAGTGTCCGTGCTTTTCTATCAGACAAAACCAGTTCTCAAAAGTAAGCTGGAAGTTCTCCTGCAGACTGGAGTAGGGGAAATTGATAACAGATTAAGCAGTGATCTTACCCCAGAAAGATTTGCACCTCAAAGGCTCTTGTTGCTTTAGAACAGAAGTCCAAAATGTCTGGTTTGTTCATTAAAAAAGTGTTTTTACCTATTTTTAAGAATGAGTTGCCAACATTTTAAAATTAGATATTTCATATAAAAGTCATGATTTCTGGCTTAAGTAATTTGAAAAGTAAGGTCTGGCCCAGTGGTCCTGTGTTCACTATGACAATAGTCAGAAAACTGATGCCTCTTTTTTAGTGGAGAACAAGCAGTCCGCCACCTCCACCCACCAAATGCCTTACTCCTGTGAGTTTGCTGCCTGTAGATACTGAAAGTCAAGGAGCACCTATGTTGGCACCTCAGACCCCAGCAGAGGGAGAACCCTCAGCATCCCTAAATAATACTACTGAGGCTGCTGTCTTGGAATTAAGTTTTTATTTTACTAAGAAAATTGAAGTCTGTGAAAATAAACCCAAAGCACAAAATTTTTCTGTAGTACTATTTGATTTATTAAAGGAAGATCAGCTGCTGTTTTACTGTATGATGAGCTTATTTTGTCCTATTCATAAAGGAGTTTGGGAACTGACATTGTCTGGTATAATAAGTGCATAGGGAAAGTCAGAAAAATCATTGTTTTTACTGTCCATTTTAAGGTCACTATTCTATGCATGTAATGAGAGATGTGAAAAAATAAAAAGTGAGGGAATGAATTGTTATTTTCTTCAAACTAAATCTCATCCACTTATGCATTCTCTCTTGTTGTATGTTCCTGATGTGCCCAGCCAGTGCTGAAAAATTCTTCCATTACGTAACTCTTTGGGACCAGGCAAGTTTAGACATGGCACTCAGTGTGAAGTTCTTGCAGGAACTCCAGCCTCAAGAAAGGCCCATTCAGCCGTATTGCTTCCTACCCCCTCTAGGTACCCTCTTTGTCTTGCCCTTTTGTCAATGAAATTTTTTAAAAAAACAAAGTGAAGATCACTCAGTGCCTGAAAACAGATTGAATGATCAATTTTCTTCAGTTCTGATTCTCTTTGTTACTTTAAACAAACAAAGTAGACAAGTGGGGAGTGGGAAGAGTAACAACTAAGTAAACAGTGAGGATCTTATTCACAATCCACCCACTTGACTCTGCCCAGCAAAGTGAACAAAAGAACAAGCAGTTAGTTCAGCTACAGAACCTGTTCTTCGTGGTCTGAAGAAACGGTTTGCTGCTGTGTGGGAAGAAGTGTGGAGCTGAGTGGTTTGTGATTAGGTGGCATTGAGTGTATAACGCTTCTTTTTGTCAGTAGCCTGTTGCTCCTTGTAGATGACTCAGAGACATCTGCTGAAGACGGGGTGGTTAGTCACCACAGTCTTACAGAAGCCTTCGTTCTCAGAATTTACCTTCCTCTCATATTTGCTCTTTTAATGTTGTCATAAGCACCCTTTCACCTCCAAACAAAAGGACTAGATGCTCTATTGTTCAAACTATGAGGAAAGAACTCCCTCTAGGGCACAGGGCTAAGAGGACTAACGTACAAAGTGATGATCAAGATCACAC